ATACACATATATTACTAGTACAAAATGAATGTTTGTAATTTTTAAAAAATGTCAAAATAAATTTCTTCTTGGAATTTGTAGGATCTCGTTTCACTTTTAACATTAATTTTATAAGTTTATTTTATTCTTGGATCTTTCGATCTTTAAGCTATTTTGATCATATGAGCAATTCAGTTCACATAGTTATGATAAAAGCTAGTTTTCAATTAGCAGTAACTTATATACGATTGTATTAGTCCCATGTCTAATTTCAATTAATTTATTTTAGTTTTAATAGCATAAATAAGTTTGATGTGTTCTAGCCATTAATTTCCATAATATATATTTTGATCTTAACACCATATTCAGTAAGACTAGCCTTGTACCAGTTGGATTGTTTAATCAGATAGTCAAGCAAAATGAATGTTTTTTGTATGAATAGATGTATGTATGTATGAAGATATTGGTTTGAAGTGTTAATTCGTTGGGCAGATTTTTTAAAACTTATTTGGTGAAGATAATGAGAGGTCCAGTCCACACAACAATAACAAATTAGTTTATTTACTCTAAAACGTTTCCATGAGCTATGTTCACTAGTACACTATTGTAAACCTTGTCTCTATCTCAGTTTGGTACCTGCAAAGAGTATCTTTGTACCAACTTCCACATAAATTTATCAAAACAAGGCTAAGTAATTGACCAAAACCCCTACAATTATGGGTTTATTTAACATACTGACCCCCCTAAAATGACCAAAAATTGGCATATCCCACATTTTTATATGTATGGGACCTGTAAAAAAAAGTGTATGTTACAAATCCCATGTAAAATGGCTGAAAAACAGTGGAGTAATTGCCCTCAAACCCTAAAATTATACTTCTTGTGGCATCTTGACAACCTTATAATTACTAAAAAATTGGTAAGTCTGTCATTTTTGTTTGCCAATGTGTGTGTTACCTGTATAAAAGTATTTTGGTACCAAATTCCATGTAAATTGGTCAAAATATGGCCAAATAATTGGCCAATAACTGCAAAAATTATGCTCTAAAAAGACTCAAAATGGACAAATCCTATATTTTTGTATGTCAATATGTTGGGTGCATGAAAATGTATATTTGTGCCAATTTCCATCTTCATTGCTGTAAATATAACCGCATAGGAGCCCAAAATATACATTTTGGGGTTATTTGACCTTTGACCCCATGATCCTTAAAAAGGCCTAAATCAAAAAAATTAACAGTTTCTGGACGTATTGGACAAAGGTATAATCCTACCTACCAAATTCAAATCAATCCACCGATAAATGAAGGCATGGCAGTCAACTGAAAAGTGTTTGGAAGAAGAAAGAAAGGAGAAACAGTAGAAAGACAGTATGCCTTTCTACAGAGACATAATGAGGAGGCTGACGTGTGTATAAAATTCATAAATATGTAAATAAAATATTCAGTTTGTCTATTATCAAAAGCATTTTTCTTTACATCAAATTATTCTTAAGTACATTTATTTATTTATTTTTATTTTTTTTCAGGCTATTGGTGAATTTATCCTCACTGATCCAAACATGACTGTAAAACCAAGAGGAAAATACTACAGCATCAATGAGGGTTATGCTAGCTTGTGGGATAAGGCTGTAACAGAGTATGTGAAAAGAAAAAAATACCCAGAGGTAAAGGAACCCATTTTTTATTTCTTGTCATTCTTAACATATGTTTAGACTAGCAACATAATGCAATTTAAAAAAAACGAATGAAATTTTGTCGTATAACATTATGTCACATTCTAACACTGTATACATTAGGATACAATTCAACCTAAGCATTCTTGATTAGCTTAGGATAAGAAAATATCTATGTACACGTTTATGTTTCTCTAACATTTTTACACTTTTTATTTTTTCATTTGTATTCTGATAAAATCTGACCACATCATTAATTATCAGTGTAGGAATTTTCTTATGTTAAATTCTTTCTATGTTTTAAAATAATATAGAACTAATGTTTAATTCTGGCTTTCACATTCCCTCGGGACTGGATGCTGGGTCATCACAGAAAAACTCCCAACTAATAGCTGTTACCCATTTTAACAGCTGGGTAGCCTGAAGCAAGTTTTAAGCATAATGACTAGGTGTGGGTGATCTTCAAACCCATGACCTATTGATTACTAGTTCAAAGCATTACCTAGTCATGAAATTTGGTTGTATATTTTGTGGGGAAAAAAATTTTTGCTCAAGTGTACATGTATTTATATAATAAAAAAGGTAAGATTTCTTGGTGTTAATATTATTTCAAAAATACAATGTGTTTTTTTTTTCATGGTAACTAACAAGTGGTAGTATTTATGGCACTAAATATAGTGTTTACCATATGTATGTGAGATTAATTGGCTTAATATTTTGTACTACGACTCATTATAGTTGTTAAATTTTTTCTTTGGTTACCACATTTCTTGTTGTAACTGTAACTACTGATGTTCACCATTTGTAGACACCCACCTATTTTATAATGCATTGTCAAAACTACTTTTGCATCTCACTGTTTATGGATCCATGACTTTTGTTGTTGTTGTTGTTACAGGGTGTGTAATAATGTAAAAGTCACACAAACATTTAAACAAAAATGCCATCAATATTTCAATTAACCTTCACTAATTACTGGTGAGAGTTCTATATGTATTTTATAAGAAGTGAGTAATTTCTCCCAATTTTTTTTTATGGTCAGTTCTTTCCACTGAGTATTGTAATGTAAAAATTACTCAATATGATGCAGCAGTAAAAGTTTGTAATTTGATGATTACGTATTTTAGATTTAAGCTTTACAGTTTTACTTGAAAAATGTGTTCTCCTAGATAACAAAGTATTTGCTTCTATGTCTTGCACACTAACAATAAAATGCACTTCTGTGTATGTGCACATACTTTATTTCTGTTGTTAACTGTAGAATGGAAAGCCTTACGGTGCCAGATACATCGGTTCTATGGTAGCCGATGTACATCGCACACTGAAGTATGGGGGAATCTTCATGTATCCTGCCACAAAGGATTCTCCTAATGGAAAGGTAAAACCAAAGTGTTTACATGGATATGGTAAAATTACACTTATTTATTGGTTATTTAAGCAACTTTTTTTTGTAATAAATTACCTTTTTAAATTTAAGTACCAGTTTGTGTTTATAGGATATACTTACTTCTCTTACAACTGATTCAGTGACTTAAGTTGTCTATAATATGAGCTTTGTGAATGACAGTTCCGAACCCAAAAATAACATTTTAACAATGGTACAAATTGTGACTGGTAGAAATTATTTCAATTATCAAAATAGCATAAGCCACATTCTATAGATGGATTTGTTACCTTTTCCACTTTCATTTACATTATATCTGGTCACTTCTACTTGTTCTGCAATCCATATAAAACTACATCAGGAAGATCATGTCGATTAATACTAAAAATCATAATTTACTTCTTGATCTCAAATGTCCAACCCAAAGTATTTTCATTAGCAAAGAAGTTTGCCAGATTGAAAGTTACTGTTTTAGGACTAACCTCCTTATGTAATATGTGTAATCAAGTTGTTATTGTATAAGAATAGATTATTTACAGTACAAGTTTCAGTGTAATAAACCAGTCCTCATAATAGCAAAAAAAAACAGTATTTGAAAAAGTAAGGAAGGAGTTAACAAATACTTAATAATATACTTTACATTGTGAATATACAGCATTAAATATGCAGAATTGTGACATATCACTTAGTTGTCATAGCATCATTTTTTAAATGTTGTAATTTTTGTATTTTTAATAGAAGTATTAATTAAAGTAGCCATTTTCTATTCCTGTATTTAAAGCTACGACTTCTATATGAATGCAACCCCATGGCTTATATAATTGAGCAAGCTGGAGGACTGGCAAGTTCAGGGAAAATTCCAATTCTTGATGTGGTTCCTAAAAAGATTCATCAACGCTCACCCATTTTTCTTGGTTCTAGAGAAGATGTGGAAGAAATTCTTGATCTGTATAAACAGCTCTAAAAGGAATAATGTTAAAGAACAAGTTAGGGCTGCTTGATAGCCGAGGTTTTCTTATTTTTCAGACTTTACACTTTATAACAGTGCATTTGAAAAACACAAGTAACCATTTAAAGAATCAGTTGAAGTTACAATTAATCAATTATGGTATATATTCATGTAGACTTCAGTGATATATTGTCATATGATTAAAACATCAGTTATGTGCCTTATCAGTATTTTAAACCTAACTCTAGCAGTAAAAACCATTGTTCTTAACTTTTTCTTATTTGACTAAAAAAAACATTCTTCACAAGATCTGTCAAACAATGAAACTTTCCAGTTATTTCGTTCGCATTAATGCATTCATATCCAAAATATTTGTTGATTTTATTAAATGTTTAATATTTCTAATGTTGAGGTCAATGCCAAGGTTGTCTATGTTTTAATAAATTAAAAGAAAGACTGGTTTCCATGTTTTGCTTAGTGTCACTGTTAGATGATTTTTGGTGAGTAAAAAACAGCAAATTACTTTGTAAAACTGGCTTAAGTGGTTTTTAATAGCTCAGAGTACTGAACACAAACAACAAGTATCTTATAAATGAAAGTTTCTTAACACTACAAATTAAAATATGAAAACTTTTTTTACCTTTTTCAATTCCAGAAAAACTCGATAAGATATACTTGCTTCCATTTAGTGAATTACTTCTTTCAAAAGCTAGAGTGTTGATTTTGATGAGGAACTGTTGATGCTAACTTTTGTTTTACCACACATTTTTCTGTAAAAATGGCATTCCTCAGCATACATTTTAAATCACGTTTATATTATTTGGGCCAACGTGCACACACAGTGAGTGAATTAAATTCCCAATAACAACCAACGTGTAAACAATATTCGTACGATCACTGGAAATGTTGGGAATTTTGATAAATAAAAGTTTTGAAACTTGAAGTAAATCGTACAGAAAAATATTTTTGATAATTAGTAGTTTTCACGTCGTTGTTGTTATTTTTAGTCAAAAAAAAAAACTCTGCTTCCACCGGTTGACCTATGTTTTTAAGCTGTTCTAGCTGCTAAACGTAGTCATAGAAAAATTCAGAGTAATTAACTACAACTGAGACCAACAGTGGATTTCGCTATTCGAATATTTGTTACCTATGTCGTATCGTATTCAAATATTCGACAATAAAAAATATTGTTACATCTCCGTTCGTTAATTGATTTTTCCGTAACTTCGTTCCGACGAAACTTTAACGACACAAGTAAAGACTTAATAAACCAGTTTTATTATATTCGGAAAGTAGTGTTTGTTTTAGCGCGAATATTGAAATTAAGTGTATCGTAAAGTTTAACGAACGAACGTTAACTTCAACAATACCCTGTGACTGCAGTTCAATTACTCACTATCTACACACACATATCGCGTCACGTTGTCACCCTCTTATATATACCAGACTACCCTATCTAGTAAATGCTAGGGCATTCGTGAAGGAACAAGACAGTTCTAGAAACTAGAGGGCGTGAGAATAGTCACGTGATCTCGATGACGCAACAGTACTTACAAGCACAAACAGCCTCCCGTAGCCTGCTAGTATTTCTAATATATTAACATTTTTTGTCTACCTTTGAAATCTCACAAACATTATTTCTCTACTGTTTGATTCTCTCATTACTTTTAATGTTGGCTTCTATTATTCGTTCACTTTTATATATATATTTTTTTTCAATGAGGTATGAATACTACGATCAGTAATTAACAGCCAGTATAAATAATAATCGACACTTCTGGTTGTACTTCGATTATTGTCATGTTTACAGTACTTCGAATATTATCTCTCGTAATCTTTTCAATATTGAGTTTAATCTTTATAAAGTAGGGCAATTTAAACATTAAAGATCAGTAAATAATTAAAAACAATTATTCTGTAGCTACACCTATTTCTGTTAGACCTAATCGCCCACAGTAAATGGCGCTGTATAACTTTGTTAGGCACACATTGATGGGGGACGTGAGCAATATATTTTCTCTGAAAGTATTAAACTGTTAGTAAATCAAGAAGAACGAGGACCTGGAAGTTTATTCAAAGGAGTGCCAGAAAGTCTATCAAGGACATCTTTAGTTTGTACCAAGTCTAAAAGATGTCATTTTGGGCAGGTGTTGTGTCTGTGATTTACTCAATGTCATGTCATTCCTAGCAGTAGTACCTTATTTTTAAAAAACCGTTTTGCAGTTAGCTGGGTGAAATTTCGATCAGTTGGTCTTTATCGGGCCTAGGAAACCGCGTAGCGTGAAAATATTGTATTTTTATTGGATGTTTTATTTCACTATGGAAGTGTAGCTAAAGTAATAATCGTTTACCGAAAATGGACCATTTCATCATACTTACATCTTGCAAGTACATATAATATAAAATTCAACAGAATCTATATTGGTACTAAGCCTTTTCTATAATTTTAGCTTCTTAATTTATTTCAACTATAAATTATTGTTGTGGAAAAATTGAGGGGTTACAATGAATGTTCCCTTTATTAACCGAAAAATAAGAAAGTCATAACATTGATTTTATTCAAGCAGCAGAGTCACATTTAATCTGATAAAATATAGCAGGGCTGCACTTCAAACCTAATTTCGTTTGGTTTACATTCTCCCTCTAGTGGCCAAAACACAATTAATGGAAGGTCATGATAGTGAATTTATTAAGCAGCAAAATCACATTTAATCAGAAAAAGAAACACATGAAAACTGCACTTTAAATTCGACTACGTTTGGTTTAATATTGGAGGAACTTTTATTTGTTTCGTTATCCCTAACAGCTAGGAGAATCAGCAGCTTCTGTATATCTACAACTGAATTGGAGATCTGGTTTAATATTGGAGGAACTTTTATTTGTTTCGTTATCCCTAACAGCTAGGAGAATCAGCAGCTTCTATATATCTTCAACTGAATTGGAGACCTGGTTTAATATTGGAGGAACTTTATTTGTTTCGTTATCCCTAACAGCTAGGAGAATCAGCTTCTG